TGAATAAATCTCTTGAAATACAATGAGTGACGGACGAAAACGATTGAGTGGTTCCGAATATCGCAAACAAGCTGCGAAAAAGAAACTGAAAGATGACGAGATTATGGGAAAAACAAAAAAACTTTCCTCCTATTTTAAAAACAAACTGCTACAAGTAGTTCTAACACTGAAGAAACAAGTGAATTCTTTCAAAAAACATTAGATTCTGCAGGTGAGTTGAAAATTCTATGATTGTTCGTATCTCAAATTCATTGCTTTTCACTTTTGGTCATCATAACAGTCGGATTAGTCGACTGAAATTTCATTACATTTGACTACAATATATCCGAAATCTTGTACATCCAGACGTCTTAAAAAATCAGATGACGTTGATGACGAAGAAAATAAGCAAAGTAGCAATGTTAAAGTAGAAAAACCAAAGAGTGAGGTTAATATCATTTGCTCTGACTTGCAAAGTGATAAAATAGTATTAAAAAATGTATAAAAAAACGTTGTTCGACGCATGTGCGAAAATGTTTTTGTATGAATGTGAAGGCAGCCCTCGCATTCGTAGAATAAACTTTTACGCATTTGTATCGAAAACTACACGGAAAAAATAATTTAGCGAAAATTCCCGAACTCATTCAGATGTTGAGGATTTAAAAAAAATTTGAGAGATACTACGAATTCATTCATTAGAAATATTGAGGCACTATATTCAAGAAGAGTTACAAATAGTTTAAGGCCGTGGTCCGAATCATGCTGACAACGCTCATGAACATTGTTTATCTTCGTTTAACATTTGACAAACAACAAGGATGAAATGATTTTTAAGCGTTGTGAGCGTGTATCGGACCGCGGCCTAGAAATACATGCCGAACTGTAGATGAATATTTACTGAAAAGTTCGGGAAAATTTTCGAACTCGTTTAAAAAAGAAAGTAATAAAAAAACATATATGTAATGGATAATCTTTAATGCTATCCCGTAGATGAGCTTAATGATGAAGTTTCTTCTGAAAATCCCTTTGAAGATTTAGAAAGACGACAAAGTGATTTTGGCAAAGCAGTTGGTAGAGATCGTGAGGGCTCCACAGAATCTACAAAACGAACAGAGCATGATGGGGAAATCTTCACATTCAGCGACGACCCTGCGAAATGGCTGATAAA